CCCCTCCGCCCCCAGAGCCCCCTCCTCACCTCGCTACACAAAACACTTTGGATGGTCTTGGCGTAGGTCTCGATGCGGTCGTCCTTCAGCTCCACCAAGGCAGGACGGCTGATGTGCATGCCAATGGGGCCACAGACACTCTCCATGGTGGCCAACAGATCCTTTGCCAGGTTGTGCAAGCGCTTGGGGTAAACCAGCAGCCAATAATTCATGGCGATCTAAAGAGAGAGGTGAGGACAACTCTTGCCTCAGGGGTTCAGTGGGAAATTTGGAAGAGAGAAAGTGACCTAAGAGGAACCTAAAGAGAGTGGTCAGCATCAGAACAGGCTGCCCAAGGAGGTGGTGCAGTCACCAGCCCTGGAGGTGTTCAAGAAACATGTAAAGGTAGGACTCAGGGATATGGTTTAGCAGGCATGGTGGTGATGAATTAACAGCTGGATGATCTTAGAGGTCTTTTCCAACCTTAATGATGCTGTAAAGGGCACACAGCATCCCAATCCTGCACTGTGAGAGCCTTCAGTCACTCCAGGAGGAGGTAGGAAAGCAGACACACCACAGCCACGGACCTCTAACCTCCTCCTTCAGGAAAAACCAGGCTGAAGCATCAAGCCAATATAAACAAGGGAAGGGTTGGAGCTCCTACAAGCTCAGACGGGAGCAGGGCAGACGGGATGGATGCCAGCACTGAGAAAACCCATCCCAGTTTATAAACACGAGAGAGTCCAGCACAGAGCCACCAAGATGATGAAGGGCGTGGAGCATCTCCCTGCTGAGGAAAGGCTGAGGGAGCTGGGGCTCTTTAGCTTGGAGAAGAGGAGACTGAGGGGAGACCTCATTAATGTTTATAAATATGTTAAGGGTGAATGTCAGGAGGATGGAGCCAGGCTCTTCTCAGTGATGCCCAATGGTAGGACAAGGGGCAATGGGTGTGAGCTGGAACACAGGAGGTTCTGCTTCAACTTGAGAAGGAACTTCTTTACAGTGAGGGTGACAGAGCCCTCGGACAGGCTGCCCAGGAAGGGTGTGGAGTCTCCTTCTCTGGAGACATTCAAGACCCGCCTGGACGCCTTCCTGTGTGATCTCATTGAGGTTCCTGCTCCGGCAGGGGGGTTGGACTGGATGATCTTTGGAGGTCCCTTCCAATCTCCAACTCTCTGTGATTCTGTGTGTTGTGGCAAAGGCAGAGCTGTGGGCTCACCACTGAGATGGAGGCTTCTCGTGAGACCTCCTTGCTCCAGCCCAGGTCCTCGGTGGGGACGAAGGAGCTGTGCCGCAGGTTGATCCTTTCCGCGGGGAGAACTCGACCCTGGGTCTGAACAGAACAAAACCCCCAGCAGCTCCGGTGCCACCACCTCTGTCCCCAAGGATTGGGGATGGGGGGGTTCCCGGTTCCTTACAGCCCTTACCCTGTGGATGTCAGGGTCCAGGCTGAGCCCCCAGTGCATCAGCTCCTGCGAGGCCTCGGGGTTGTCCTTGATCCTGCGCAGGAGGCTGGTGAGACGCGTGTAGTGCTGCCTGGGGCTCTGCAGCATCTCCCGCGTCACCTCCTGCAGAGGGTGAGGGGGTGAGTTGGGGAACCCCCAGGTGTGATTTGGGAGCTCAGATCTCCAAATTGGGCAACACCAGCTCAGGTGAGCAGTGATCATCAGGTGTAAACATGCTCTGACCTTCAGCATTCGACTGTCCTTCCTCATCTCAGGGATCCCAGTCATGAAGGTGAGCTCTGGCACCAGCAGCACCATGTCCAGCCGACGCTGCAGGGGTGGGGACAGGGACCATCAAGCACCCTGAGGGGGCTGCAAGCTGCTGCCCTCACAGTGATGGGCAGGACAAGGGCTGGAGGAGCCAAATAAAGACCATGGGTCTCAGTGCTGGGCTCACCTTCCCCTCTGGTGTCTGTTTTTCCCTCGGCCTGTAGACAAGCAGTGGCTGGTCCAGCTCCCTGATGGTGATCCCGTAGGTTTTGCTGGAAAAACACCAAGGAGATGGCATCAGGTGAGATGTTCCTGCTCTCAAGTCACAGCCAGGCATCAAACCCTTCCCCACAGAGAGATGTTCATCCCAAGGGATTCTCCTTACCTGTAGTAATCCATGAAGGTGATCTCCTCACCACTGGCCAGGGTGAAACTGTTCCTGGGGGTTTTGTCCCAGTCGATGTCATCGATGCGGTAGGTGCGGTGGTTGTAACGGGTGATGACCACGTTGCCCACCAGTTGCTTGATGCACTCATCTTGGAAGCTGCTGAGGTTTTGCTTGTAGATGGTGTGCCTGTGACAGGGAGACAAAGGAGGAGAAACTCATGGTGATGCTCCCTGATAGTGTTATCCCCAAAATAAAACACCCTTTGCCAAATAACACCGGTGGTGTTGGCAGTGTCCTCACCAAGAGCCAGCCCTGCTGGAAAAACACCCTCATCTCTCAAAAACACCCTGCAGGACTTCTCCAGGTTTATTTCCCCCCCGCTCAACTCCACCCCCCCTTTTCTCTTACATGAAATTCAGGACAGAATCACTGCGGATGATTTTGTGGATAGCATCAACCAAGAGGAAGAGGCCACCATCCTTCTTCCTGATACTGACAGAGTATCCCGGCCAAATCTGTAACCTGTGTGCAAAAGGGGATGTAAAAAACAAACCCAAACCCCAAAACACACCCACCAGCACCCGGATAAAACCCAGAGCCGCCTGCACGGCGCTGCCAGAGGAGCCCAGCAGCCGTCCTGCTGGCCCAGGAGCACTCAGAACACACAGGGATTTATTTCCCTGCCTGGCTGCCAGCTTTCAGCTAATAACCCCTGAATTGTGCTGCAGAAAACAGGAGCTCTGAGGTCAGGTTAAACCAGCACCAGCCAAGAGAGCTGACCTGGCAAAGAGTTCCCAGTTTCCAGACTCGTCTTACTGCCAGGGAGGGGACACAAGGGTGTCCCTGTCTTGAATTAATGCACTTGGGCAGCAGAAAACTCATCCAGGACTCACCTGTACTGCTGTAATACAGTGGCCTGGTCAGGTTCAAAGAAGTTTCTACTAACAAGCTTCATACCCAACATTTTCATCACTCTAGGAAGGAAAAATAAAAGCAGGATGGGCTGAGGGTCAGAAGGAGGAGGAAGGTCTCCTCTCTGGAGCTCAGGGAGGGTCTCTGCTGTCCCTCACCTCCGGAAAACCACGTTGTAAAAAGGGATGCAGAGATCTGAGCTGGGCTCCAGGACCTTGGTCATCTGGATGGTGATGGTGATCTCCTCCCTGTCACTTCTCCTCTGAGCCTTCAGACTGACCTGCTGTGAAGCAAGATAGATGTTCTCCAACCCAACACCTTGACTGGAGACCCCAAGGAGGGGACATCCCCACACCCCCAAATTGACTGGAGCAACCAGATCACATCATCCCTTATCATAGAATGGTTTGGGTTGGAAAGGACCTTAAAGGTCATCCAGTCCCAACCCCCCTGCCAGCAGCAGGGACACCTTCCACTAGACCAGGTTGCTCAAAGCCTCATCCAGCCTGGCCACAAACACTTCCAGGGAGGAGCAGCCACAGCTTCTCTGGGCAACTTTATTACCTGGGGGAGCAGGATGGGCAGGAAGAGGATGGAGCCATCGAAGGCTGTCACGTCCCCTGTCACTGCCCGGTGCTCCTTCAGCATGGCGAAGCGTGTGCTCCTGCACTCCACCTCGGGGCTGCCAGAGACAGGGGTGATCAATTGTTACCACTAACAAGTCCTTGATCCTTTAACCACCCTTTACCACCCAGTAAGACCCCACTCAGGATCCCCAAAAACCCCAGAAGGGGGGAAAAACCCCAAGCTGAGCTCAGTTGTTGTGCTGCTCCACAGCAGCTCTGCCTCAGGCACCGTGCTGGCCACTCCATCTAGTGGCTACTGGGACTGGAGGGAGGGAGAGACACAGAGAGCTCTGCCCAGGGGCACCCACCCTTCGAGGGGGCTGTGTGGGGGACCCCAGCCCCCTGTGCCAACACTGATACCTGAAGGTGACGTGGTACTGGTACACAGCTTCGTTCTGGCAGTGGATTTTAACCGAGTTCAGCCCCACAGGTAAAGTGCTTCCCCTGGCCACTGGCTTCAGCCCCGCTGCCCTAGGAGAGATGGGGCAGAGGGAGGATGGTGCTCGGACCCCAAAACGCAGGGTCAGGGCTGGCCAAGGCTGTACTTACGGTCTGCTGGCAGCTGGGGGGGTCCCCGGGGTGGGCACGGCTGGCTGGGA